AACATATGCTGTCCCAACTCAATATTCGTTGTTACTATTGATCTATGTACATTCCTTTAACGCAGAGGATGACAGCTTACAGTGATATTTAGGTCATTAGGTCTTTGTAGGATTGCATTGTGATAAAACAGATAATATTTTTTGCTTGTGGAAACACCATGCATGTAAATTTATTACTGCAAAGCTTTCGATCCGTGAGCCCTGATCTTCATCTGTGCTAATAATATGTGACTTGTTCAATTGAATTCACTTGCGCTGATGAAGATCCGGGCTTACGGATCGAAAGCTTTGCAGTAATAAATTTACATGGTGTTTCCACGAACAAAAAGTATTATAGATATTTAGGTCGTTGACCATCAGGTTTTCTTGTCATCCCTTTTGCTTCTTCTCGTCTACTTTTCTGTTTTTTATTAAAAATTGCTTGATTTTCCTAGTTTTTCTTGCTTTTTCTCATAAATTCCTCCTTTTTAAGACAGCTTGGGGAATCATTATAATCATAACTCGTTGTTTACCGATGGGCGATGGTACTTATAATATATACTCGTATATATATGTTGTATTATATTCGTGTCCTATACACACGCAATTTTTAGTACAATCTGTGATCTATTTGAACAACCTATAATGACCACATACCTACTATTGGAGTAAGGTTGGCTGCAGGGGGAGGCCAATTTTTGTATACATAACTTAATATTATGTTAAATAATTATTACATGATATTGTGTTATTTGCATCTCCAAAAGTTACTACTTTTGTCCTACATTTTTGCATATTTTCCTACTTTATTCCGTCTTTTCCTAAAATTTTACTATTTTTAGTCATACTTTTTCATATGCCAACCAGATCAAAATCTTCCATACTGCTGTATAGAGCCCTTCCTTCCCTCAGACTCAGCGTCTTGTCTTTCTTATATACCGTGAAAATATACAGCTATAATTATATACAGTGATCTTACGTTTGTATCTTTCTAGATCTTCCTTAACCTGACCAAAGTTCTTCATTTTTATTCAGACTCAAAACTATCTTCTGGCTATGTAAGTAAAATATTGGTTTTCGAAAGTTATACGATTTTAATTATAATGACACATGTGTATGCTTCCCATACTATACTTCCTATATGCCTTTGTCTCTTTTTTTCGTACAATAACGTTTTGTTTAATTAACTATCAAAAGTTCTTTATTTTTTGGTGGCATATACTTGATAATAGGAACTGCCCCATGCGTTGAATAGTTTATCAACTTACATGTTTTTTTTTATAAACATCGTTTACAGAACTTCAGTTGTTCGAAAAAAATTTATATTTTCATTACTGTTATGCGAAATATTCTTCAAGAGCGCTATAATTAGGTATTTTGATAGTTCGCGATTTTAACCAAAAATTTCAAACTCAGCTGCATGCAAAGATATTTACCTTCTAGAATTCTTTGTTTTTAAAAACACCACATTGTTTGAAATATTGGCCTACCCTCCCCATATGGGTCACACCCCAATATTTCAAATTTTGGCAGGACTGCATGCAGGTGTGCCAATATTTTAAGGCAAGTTTGGAAAGAAAAATATTTGAGAATATAGAAAGAGTTTCTATTTCAATAACTGTAATAGCTAGCTGTGTATTTCTTCGGAACACCTTTATATATATTTGATAAAATAATTTTAAATACAGTCAGAAATTCACTTTTTTCCTGTGGGATGCAAAGCCTCCTATAAATTTCCGACAACATTTTTTAATTTTCCGACAACCCATGCATTTACACTTAAAATGGGATGTTTTTAATCCTTTTAGGTAAAAATTTCAGGGGAGGGGGATAATTGCCAAAATATGTACAAGTGTAACACACTATTTGAACTTGAAATGTCAGACATTTGACAGGAATTGTTTTTGGGGTGTCACCTGCTAAGTTTTGATACAAAAATACATTGAAAGAAGACCACAAAAGTTTTTGTACATAGACAAAGCACTTATATACCGCGTACTTGTGGCAATGACTTTGTTTCTTAGTCAATCGAATCACTCCTTTAACTAAATCTACATATAGTAGGTCTTAGAATGTCGCTTGTCTTACAATTTCTTACACCGCATGCACCATGTATATTTTTTACCTATAGATTTCTTTGTATTAACACAAATTTAGATCTATATATGTCAAATGACCAATATCAACAACAACAACAAAAAAAATTATTGATATAGCTATAATAGGCAAACATATAGCTTAATATCAGCGGAATTGGTGAATTTGATTTATATATCTCCAATATCTATATAAAGACTTTTGTAAATAGCGAAATGCCAAAACTGCTTTTGGGGGAAAGAATGTACACATTATATCAAGTTTTTTAGCACCCATATTTACGACATGTCCTTATAAAAAAGGGAAAAACAGTACACCACTTACATTGCACTAAGTACTGCCGCTCTGCAGGCTAATATTAAAGCAATTATTTCAAAAACTGTTTGTTCTCGCAGACGACGTTTTAATTAATCAGGTTGTTAACTACACTGATTACTGTTTTGTTCAAAAATGCTCTCCTGAGCGAAACTTTGCCTTTCGGCTGCCTGCATGCCTTTACATGCAACAGTTAGATATAATTATATAGTGTTTATATGTCAAAGAAAAAAGGAAGAAAAAAGGAAGCATACTGATTACTGATCCTTGTCTGTCAATCATGTATATTAATCAAGCAACGTTTTACTCGTGTTTACATGCATAAATCAATATGTCAAAGTGACTATAATCAAATCTTGCTCTAATAGTAGCATATGCATAAAACGTTTATAGAAATTGTAGAACTTGTTCAAACATCCTCAAGGGCAAATATACCGGAGAATTCGTTTGGTATATTTAGCCAGTGATTATTTCTGTACTCGAAATATTACTCACAATATGATGTCAATAGTCCATACGTTATCATGCAGTCTGTACTTATAGACAGTTACAGTATTAGTGCCCAAGTTGACGTCGGCCAAAATAATTATGATTCACCATTCTCTTGAGACTATTTTCTAGGGTTACCATGAGTTAACCATGTGTTGCATATAGGATTATGGGCTATTTATGTTTCTCTATAAAGGGCCGTCCAAACGAGGCCGACTTGTTGGTCCAACATCATCCAGCATTGTTGGATGCAACATTGTTGCCTCGTTTGAACATTGTGTTGGGTTATGATTGATGGCTGATGTTGGATGGAGTTTGTCTTTATTTAAAATATTCATCCAGCATTGTGCAACATCGTCTAACATTGGTGCTCCAACAATGCTGGACAATGTTGAACTCGTTGGAACGAGGGCTTTTCGATGGAAATCCAATTTCCATACTATATAATTTCCATTTCCATTGATATATAGTATGGAAATAGCGTTTATACTATGGATTTAGCGATGCAAATATGATTTCTATACTGCAGCATGGATAATTTCGTAATAATTCCCAGTGTACTGCATGTAAGTATATGTACCACAGATGTACCTCTTCTGAAACATTCATAACTTATCCGCTTGTTCACATCCATCAGAAGAAGAAAATCGCAGTACGAATGGTAAACGGACCTTTTACCATGCATACATAAGTGTTCACAGATTAATTTGTTTATTGACCAAACAACGTTTTATACCTGTTTGCATGTGAAAACTGTCAAGCATATATAACTGTGGACATGTACTGTACTAGGTGCATGTATATACCTAGAAGCTCTTATATGATTCTTTGTTTGTCGAACCAGTATTCTGTTTGTAGTCTGTTACTGTATATATTGATCAAGCAACGCGGTTTTATTCCTACAGTTTGCATGTGACAACCGCCAAGCACAGACCGAATGTACAAGCTTATAACGTAATGGTATAGACATGTAATAAAGTGTAGTGTACTGCATCTATACAAGCAGTTATATATGATTCATTTTACGTATGTCGAAAGCATTCTAGGTCTAGATTTGTCTGTTACCGACTTACCGTAATCTGCAAACAACATTTTATTATCGGCCTTTTTTCACATGAAAAGTGCTTATAATAAAAAATTGCCCTATAATAATTGTATAGACATCAGCGCATTCTATAAAGTGTACTATACGTACAAACTATTCTATGCATGGTTCTATGATTATTTTTTTCTATCGAAAGCTTATATATTCTGCAATTTGTCTGTCAAGCAACTTATTAGAAATGCATGCAACTTAAACAAGCAACACTTATTAGAAATGCATGTTTTCTGTTTTGCATATAAAAAACGACCGCAGTAAGCATAATCAAGCAACGCATTATACACAGTGGTATAGCATAAACTGCACCGCACGTAAAAGCTCTTCTATAGTTATGTCCTATGGTTCTGATTAATTTTTCGTCTGTCAAACCCTGATTCCGCAACTTGTCAGGCTGTCACTGTCGTGTTTGCATTTCTAAAACGGCTGTTATAGCAGATAAACAATATTACTCTCTATACGTACATCATGCTGTACGTACGTGCATATACCTTCCTTTCAAGCGATGCAGTATGATTCATTTCTCATGAGTCATGTTGCCAAAACCGTTCTGTGATTGCCCGTTAGTTAGCTAATCTCGGTAAATTGTATGATAGCTTTATTCATGTTTGCATAGAAAAACTGTCAAACTTATGATCAATATTGCCTTCATCGTCGCAAATGGTAAATTGTATCCGCTGCCTAAAAGGCTAAATTTCATTCTCTCGTCTGTTGGTTCTACGAATAACCACCACGTATTTAAAGATTACAATTTTAGAATTCGTGCTGTCTGCAGTGGAACCAAAGATTGATTTGCCGTCTGTACACAATGATAAACACTGATTTTATGCAAATATGTCTGTTTGACTCCTAACGACATTATTGTGGTCGCGGTATTATACAACGGAGTCAGGAAATAAAGACACTGCGCTGTGGTTTTGTGTCACGTGATTTTAAGCTTGAATGAGATTAAAGAAAAACCTATTTCGCGTTGGAGTAATTTTGCATTCGTTGAATTTCTATGTTCGTGCGGATATCACAGGAACCCACTACCGGCTCGACGCGAGGAACGTTATATTGGGAACAGAAAAGTTGAAAAAACTGCAAAGCATGCGTGGGAGACAACGGGTGTATTTATAAAGCTGACTGGAATCCATGGTGAGTGACATATTAACTTTAAATGACCTACAGGCTAGATAAAATGAGCTATTCTTCAGGTATTTCTGTATAATGAGTATAGAAGTATATGTACTCTTGAGAGCTAGACATTTATTTTAGACGCAGTTAGCCGACCCAAAGTGTTATTGAAGGTATACCTTACAAGGGACAATCTTTCAATAAAAAATAGGAACGATCATAAAAGTGTGAGTTTACAGGCTGTGCTAATGCGGCATAACGGTATAAGTTTCAAGCGGAGACATAACAATCTAGAAAATTGTATGCAAGTCATTACTAGATCACTAAGCCAGAAGCCATAATGTTGTAGTTAATCCTGTTTAATGAATTGATGTGATTGGTTTAAAACGGTACAATTTGGGTGTATAAGCTTTGTCTTCACCGCGCACTGTGTACTAGACTGCAGTTAGCCGGCTAGTTACTCGTAATATACATGCTATACTATAGACATCAGTCGTGTACAATGCTATCATGACTTAAATCCGTCGTGCACATATATATTTATGTCAAATATTGGACTATATGTATATATATAGCAACACATTTATACAAAATTAGGCAAGAAATTTAGAAGTTCAGATATATCTTGGACGACATTGCTCATTTATGGTTTTTTTTGGATTATACAAGAATTTTCTCGATGAAACTCGTTAGCGTCAGCCCGTAAATGCTCATAACCATTACATCATTGTCAAAGTTAAAATACGTATACTATAGAAGACAGAATATTATTTAACTCCTTATCTGGAGGCTGAATTGAAATGTTTTGCAAGGTATAACAAAAGTCTTTTAAAGATGATTTGTGAAAATTAATTGTAATAATGGAAACAATATCAATTGAAATAGAAACCTTTATCATATATAAAAAAAACAAGTGGAGCTTTATCAGCTCTAAACTGCTCTTCCAAGAGATCAAGTATGAGGACTATCTTAATTATTGCTCCACTGTTATGCACCACAGTACCCAGGAGTGAATCCTGCGCTGTTTCGGGTTGAGTCAAACTGGCACCACTCTTCAAACTGCTACCATTCAACGCTTCTTGTGCGTTGGATGAATAAACAAATCTTTATCTCTCATTATCTACGGTTCTCGTCAGTTTCAAATCTGGAAGCACATGACCGATAACCAGGAGAAAACTTCCGCTGTTTGATAGAGCTCAGTTGTAGTTGAAACCGTAACCCTTAATTCTCACATATATATGCAGCGAATTATATAGTCGCATTAGTATATACATCCATGCATGAAAGCGACATGTACCCTATACTGCGTAACCATTGGCACTGCACCAGCACTCCTTATACGAGTAACATGTATACATTTGAATAAAGTATACTATTATATATAGACCGCATTTGAACTTAGACTCACATCCACATGCAAAAATGACTGTATATGTAGCTATAATGCCATCTATCTACACAACAGAGATATTTTAGTTTTTCATTATATATTTTGTATCAATATTTACCTAAAGCGCATGGACATTGTTTAATGCATTAATTTCTTTTCGCTCTCGTTTGCGTTCCATGAAAATATATAGTACGTAAAAACCAACTTTGAATGTAACAATATTCAGATGTAAGAAAAAATTGCATTAGAAGTCAGTCCTGACAAAAAGGTAATAATTATATGGAATTACCTCAATGAGTTATGATAGTAGGTATACACACAGCGCTTAAGCCTGGTCCACATGTAATCGAAATTCTGTCGGCGATTTTTCTCCTGGCAAATGTGATCGAATGGATGACAGGCAAAATACGTAGAATTGTTTACTTCTGAAAAGCGACTGTGTACTTTTGTGCAGTGCGAGTTCACTCATTTGCATCCGTCAGAAACACAAAATCGCCGACAAAATTGCTAGTGTGCCCAGTCTTTAGTGCATCTGTTTTGGGGTCTGTGATCAGTTGGGGTTCGATTCCATGCATGTCGGCCCGTTTCCCCGGGGACTGCATGGTTTCTTCATGTAAAAAATGGTCCTCTAAGACTATATCGAAGAATTGATCGGTTTCAAACTCATAGAGCTATATATCCAGTTGTAATACAATAAAAAATATTTTAAACAATGGGTTTCTACAGATGTTATGGGGATCGTTATAGGTTACCCAAATGTAAACTCCAAAATGGAAATCGTGGTCCCATTGCCATGGAGAGAAAATTATTTGTCAGTGCGACTGGAATGTGATGAGTTCCCATGTTATGTGCATAGAATCTTCGACACACTCACGTACATGCATGCAATGCAATGGTATTTTAAATAACAATTGAGCGTGAGTGCATGTGTTGACCTCCTCGTTGATGTGCTCGCTATTATTACACAAAAGCACAGCTTGAAAGCATGATAAACATGTATTTTTACGCTTTTATATTGTACCGGAGGGAGCAACAGAATGACCAGAAATCCATTCATTAGGTGGAGCAGTGGGCAATGCATTGATGGACATCGTGCATTTTCAGGCTATTGCCTGATTGGGCATGGTTTGTGACATAATGTAACGCTATATGTAAACTTGCATGGTCTCGATTTTGTTTAATCGTTTTTTTTTCATGTTTTTTCCTATTTCTAAATTCATTCAGTTTTTCCAACAGTTGGATCGACATGTCCAACGAAGCAAGATCTGGGGACAATGCGGCTAGACGTGAAAGTTTGGAAAGTATGCAGCACCCCACCGCGGTTGTGGGCAACGACTCTTCTAGCCTGAGCATACTAGAACACTATTTGTATGGCAAAAATGTTGTCCGTGCTATTGATATGCAAAACATCACACAACAAAGAACTACTGATGAGACTGGAATTGAAAGGAATAACAACAGAAAAACCTCTCTTTTGGAAGGTACTGTAGTCTGTACAAAAACAGCAACACTAATATTTTATTTTTTAAATTTAGTTTGCTTTGCCAGCGTTAACTCTATACATATATTAATAAGAAATACGATACAGATAAATGTACTTGGACAACTCGGTACATGTACATGGACAGCAACCACAACAGCTTGCGCCATTTATTGAGCCCCCTATAATTTAAATTAGAAACAACACGCCTGCAGTTAAGTTTCCATGTTCGCGGATTATTTTCGTAGAAATTTACTAATGCAAAACTGTAGTACTGAAAGAGACCTTATTTTGAAATCTTTAAAAGTAAATTATTTATTTGTTAGATGCCTAGGCTATAATAATGCGTTGTATGTAAAAACTATTTTTTGATAAGCCGGTTGACGTTTTGTACTATTAGCTACATAAAACATTTACATATATCACTTGTCGAACTATAGAGAGTTAGAGACTGCATCCCTCCTCCATGTCTTTCCTGCTATATAGAGGTTTATTTAACCTTTTAACTGTCCGTAGAAGTGAGCGCGTTTATTTTAATCTTCCCATCATACCCCTCGCACTTGCTTGAATAAAATTACTAATTTACAACTGATATACATAATGTGGCTCTCGTCCAATTTTCATGTGAACTTAACCATTTGATTGATTTATATAGTTAAAATATAAACTAAAACTTTGAAGTATATACTAAGCTTTCTGACTTAGTGTCCATTTTTAGGGTAAAATATTTCAAACTATATTCCCACATACGGTCCAGTATTTATAACGGCGTCTTTTAATCGTTGAGAAAAACCTGAGGCTGATTCGAAAACTATAGCCGCTACAATTTTGCATTATTTTATGCATTACCAGGCTAATAAACAATTTTTTAGCAGAGACTGCTATTTAAAGCTAAGTGTAAAACTGTTTAATATTGTTTTAACAATCCATGCAAGCGAACTGATTAATTATGCGCAAAAAGCGCCAAGACCAGACTAGTCATTTCTTCTCAAAGAGTGTACGTGGTATTAACGTATTATATTTATATTTTGTAAAACTGATAGTTTAGAAGTTATTCTATAAGGCAGCAGTGATTACCTTGAAATTAATTTCGTCAGAAAAAGTAATGACAACCATTTTTCGAATCGGTATAGAACTCTATAATTAAGTTTACTGTATGTAGATGACTAAATTCGTTATAACTGACTTGATTTGTGTGTAGGAACTAGGAAGATACTATTAAGGTGGCTCCCTACAGTTAGTACAGTTTAAATACGTTTTATATAGATCAGACTTCATCCTCGCGACCTGCGCGTGGAATCGTCGTGTTTACTGTTCGGCAAAAATATTGAAACAAGCCGCGGGAAGTTTTTTGGCGTTTTTATCTACCAAGAAAGCTCCAGTTTTTCATTATAATCCTATTTTTTTGTGAATTCGAACAGTACGTATGTTATTAACTAGTTTAGCCAATCTTTTAGTGTGTTTTTACGTATTTACGTTCAGTATTGTCTTTCATATTGCTCAAAATTTTCAACTTGTTGTGTTGCGAACTGTCAAACTGAAACGATACTGTCTTCTATAGCTCTTGAACAGCAGTGAACTGTCGCCGAAACTTATGTAAGTTCTGTCAATCAATTCAATTCACAGGTATCGTTTTATCTGCTAAATCAAATAAAACAGTTATGAGTTGTTTTATATGAAAAGTTAAACTTGTAGTTCGATGTTTTGAAAAGTTTTCACACCGATTTTAACAACAAAAACAAATGTAAACTAACATTGGATTTAATACAATGCGTATAATAGTGTTTTTTTATTAGTATTTTCAAGATTAATATTTTATTTTCATGTCAAACAAGTCAGAAATATCTGTTTTCGTATGTATTGTAAGCCAAAAAGTTGAAATCACTATAAATCACACGCTACAATTTACACGCATGCGCAGATCGTGCTCATGTCGAGTCGATTTTTTTTCATGCTGGCCACGCCAATTTTAGCGATGATTTTCTCGTGTTTTCTTCGGTGAAATTTTTTTAAACTTTGTATTTTTGTTATACAAGACGAGTGGTACAACATATCCAAATTTTAAGAAATTCTACAAATAACTTTTTCTGTAACCGTCATTCACGAATATCTTGAAAAATTATTTGTAAATTCCCTTCAAATTTTGATATGTTTTTCCTTTATGGACCATAAATCTTCAAAAAAAATTTCAGAAAAATTCACCGAAGGAAAATATAGATATTGTCAATTTATTGTGAAATTAGACAATAAAAGTGCAAACGATTAAACATCATGGTTGCCATGGCAACACAAACACTGTTTTAATTTGTTCATAAATGGACAGCACACAGCTTCTGAACTTTCCTGGAAATGATCATATTGCCTTGTCTTAGGTGTATCTAATATAAATTCGGTTCAAAGCGAACGTTACTCAAAATACCTAGAATTTTAGAGAACTGTAGGGAGCCACCTTAATTCCTACATATCTGGCTCCAGTATTTATGTCGTCTTTTAGTCATCTACATACGTAAGGCTCTAATTAAGTTTACTGTAGTAAATGGCTAAAGACGTTATAACTGACTTGACTCGTGTGTAGACTAAGATCGTTTTAAACATTTTTACACTGAAGATGGACTCTTAGTCCGACAGAACTAGAGTTAACTCGTCAGATTACCAAGGTTACCAAGGTCGTGGAGTCAGTAGTACTTTATGTGCAATATTTCGGTTACTATGAGACGAAATGTATTATATCTTTACAGTAAAGGTCTCATATATGTCAACTTTTAATTTTCACTGTCAAACTGCCGGAAATGATGTCATTAGATTAATTGCCCCGTTCCTCTGATATTAGTCGCGCCGCAAACCATTGGGTGCCGCTTGCACCCCACCAGAAATTTTTCTACCCCTCTTTAAATAAATGAAAATCCGCCCTTGACTCAATGAAAACACGGTTAATATAACTATTAACCGTGATGAAAAGCATTGTTTATATATATGGTTTTAGCAGTAAACCCCC